GTTTGGGGGTGGGGGGCGGAGAGGGGGGGTGTGAGCGTACGTATCTTGTATAATGTGTTATTGCAGGAGTCCATAACTACGCTAGTGCTTCTATCTATCTCTGCATGTATGTGAGATGAATCACCAAGTATTCGCAATCTTAAGACTATCCAAATTCTACACCAGCGGTTTTATAGGAATTACAACTTCCAACAGCGATCATCCTTGGAAAATATTTGCCTTACTGTTTTACGTAATACATCTATTTTGCATACTTTTAAAACTTAATTGGCCCTTGCCTTATGAAGGAGACTTTCAAGTATATAAGTTAAATTGTTGGAAAAACACGATTTTTCTTATAACATTTGGGTCTTATGAAACGAAAAAAGTCCTTCAGAGACCTTTCAAATTGAAGATTGAAAATGGTATTTTTGGTTGAAACTGGACCTTATAAAGGCATGGATCTGTAACAGGTGTTTCAGTGTAAGTCAGAAACTATTTCAGAAATTTTTATTTTAAAGTGATAATCTTTAGAATGTCTGGTTTCAAGCGGTGAATTTCTATTTTTGGACCATTTGCCCTATCCGTCTATTGGTTCTTCGCACCAAAAGTAGCCACCCGGGTATAAATAACGACTCTTTACGACTAACCCCTGCAGTGCCAAAGCTGATGCGAAAATATTTTATTTCACAAGTTCCATATATTCGTTTGCTACACGTCTCTGATAACCCAGTTTCGTCTCAATGTTCCGTTAAGCCAAGCTAGGGAGGAGGACTAAGATTTCTTCCCGTGAACATGAACATATACATCAGTTCTGCCAGCCGCCATCTTGTTCTTGGTCTCAGCAGCCGAGGTTCCCAGCTTGGGCTAGCCTCATTAAGTCGTAATGCGCTATCAAAGTTTAATGTGGTCATTATCTTCAAGATTTGAAATCTGGTGAACCTGGAGTATAATTTGTGATGGTGTTAACGAAAGGTTTTGTTTGAGTTTACAAAACTGTGACTATATAAATAGTGTGTGTATGCGCGTATGTGTATGCGTGTGTGTGTGTGTGTGTGTGTGTGTGTGTGTGTGTGTGTGTGTGTGTGTGTGCGTGTGTATGTGTTTGCATGTGTGTGCATGTGTATGAAAGAGAAAAAGAGTGTGAGAGAGAGAGGGGGGATGGAGAAAGAGGGAGAGGGTTAGGGAGTGTGTGTGAGCGTGTGTGTTTGTATGTGTGTTTGTGTATGTATGTGTTTGTCTGTCTGTCAGTCTGTTTCTCTCTCTCTCTCTCTCTCTCTC